ACATGTCTGCGTACCGACACACGGTTGGCAGTGCTGGGCTTGTAGACTGGGCAGTCGCTGGCAGATCACAGAGGAGGGAAGCGTGCCTGCTTGGCAGATGGTCCCCTTCATGCCCCGAACCTGTGTTCCTGTAAGCAGAGCACCCCAACTCCCATCCTCTTGATGCTTAGGCCGAAGAGTGCTTTGCCGTGGGGACTTGTCCTGTGCAGCCTTAGCCAAAAGCACCTCCATCCATCCCGGCTGGAACAGCTGGAAATGTGTCCAGACATTGCCAGACTCCCCCTAGGATGGAAAATTCACCCCTCAGCTCAGAACAGTGGCTGTCGCTTTTTATTCTGTCTTACTGTACCTGCTCTGGTGCTGAACTTTGAATAGACTTGGCAATTTTGAGATCATCAGTTTTTGAAACTTAACCAGAGACACTCTGGGTAACGTATACTTAAACCCGTGGTACTGACAGGGTTCACAGACTGTCACTTAAAATTACATTTGAGCCAGTAAAACAACATAAAATGACTTTCTTAGAAACTTTCTGGTAAATGAAATTATTCTCCATCATTACACATTCCCTTTGTCTATAATTTGGCCTGCCTACTCATAATTTTTAAACATTGGTTTCTTCTAACGGTGATTTTTTACTTTATTTTTTTAGAAGACATATCAGCTATGTGTGAATTGCCCGTCTTTCTACAGTCTCTGTTCTGTGAGTTTATACAATGTCTCTAGTAGGAGACAGACGTGGGAGTAAAAAACGTTTCTCCCTAACCACAGGAAGGGATTTGTACAATGCTTCTCAGGCGGATGGCCGGGTACCTCACCCATCAGGAAACAGGGAACTGTTCCTGCAGTTGGAAAGTAGCTTTATCTGAGATAATCCATTCCATAAACTTCCTCTTACAGAAGAGATGACCCAACTGATGGGCATTTCTTAAAAATACCCGAATGTCCTTATATGGAAAAAAAGACCCTTGTCTTAGTTGCTTTCCCCTTTGCTCTGAAGAAGCACTCTGACAGAAGCAATTTGAAAAGAGAAAGGGTTTATTCTGACCCAGGGTGAGAAGTGAAGGCGGCAGGAGCTCGAAGCCCCTGGTTGCATCACATTTGCGATCAGAAAGCAGAAAGGAATGAATGCGTTTTGGTGCTTGGCTCTCTTTCTCCACTCATGTAGTCCAGGAGCCCACTTAGGGAATAGCGCCGCCCACAGTGGGCAGATCTTCCCATCTCAGTGAACTCAATGAGACAATCCTCATACATGTGCCCAGAGGTCCTTCTTCCAGGTGACTCCTTAGTCTGTCAAGCTGACAGTTAACGCTCGCCACCAGCTCTTTAAATAACTTGTGTTTGAAAAATAACATACATGCATGCTCAGTTCTTTAGAACGATAGGCTTGTGTTTTTAGAATTTAGTGCATTTTATTTATCGTATTGCAGCATTTTTACCATAGATCAAAGTGCATCTATACAAACATGGAGTAGCTAGAAAATAGCAGGTAGTGTCTGTTAATAGTATCCAGAAGCTCTGGAGAACAGGAGGGTATGCCTTTTACTTAAAATATTTAGAAGAAATAACTCAGCTTATACTTCAGTAGTAAATAAAAGAGAACATGGCCGTGTGGCCAGACAGTTATTTTTATCATCTAGGCATGATTTCTTTTAAAGAAACAGAAATCAATAGTGTTATAAAAGCCACTTACACTCTGAGCTTGAAGCAGCTGCTTTCGGCTGTGAAATTCCCCTTGCTGCTTCCGTTAGCGGCTGAGTAATTCAGTGTGTCTTGAATGTCAACGTTTTTATTACGCAGCTAATGTTGGCTTTGCTGGATTAAATGTCACTTAAAGTGATCAATTGGAAGCTTGTTTGGGGTTACTTTAGAATTTATGAAAGGGGGGGAAACATTGCAATATACAAATGCTCTTGAAGCTTACGAGTAAAGCCTGTTGTCTGGCGAGCCCTGCCCTGCAGTTACCATCTATCGGGTACATCATGCAGTCGCGCTCTGAACCCAGTTTGATGCTCTGAAAAGACTAGTATGAACTCCAGGGCTGGGTAAGCCTTTAGCTAAAGAAATAATCCGAGGCACACTGTATAGTTTAGTTTTATTTTTAAATTAGAAACAAGCTTGCTTCACATGTTAATCCCACCCCCGAGCTCCCTCCCCTCCTCCCTCGCCCCCCCACCAACTCCCCCATCCCCCAACCCCATCCCCCCCTCCACTCCCCAGGGAGGGTGAAGTCCTCCATGGGGGATTCCGAAGTCTGTCATATCATCAGGGCAGGGCCTAGGCCCTCCCCCATGGGAACGCTGCATAGTTTTATGATACTAGCTATGTGCCATGATAATAAAAGAGACAGGGTGCACTAGGAAGTGTCTGTGCAGATGGAGATGGAGGTCAGGAGAGCCAGCCACTCTAAGTTGAGACTCTGCCGGGAGGCCTGGAGTCCAGAGAACAGTGGTTACCTTTTGTTAACCTTAATATCGTGAACACAGTAGATGCGGGCTTGGAAATGTACACCTGTTTTCCTATACTGGGTAAGTGAAGGCAGGAGGATTCTGGGACATACTGGCCAATCAGTCTGCTTGATCACTGGGGCTTCAGGTTCAATGAAAGACTGTGTTTTAAAATATATAGTGGGTAGCAATTGAAAATGCAAAGGAGGTTTCTGACCTGCGGGCACACATGATTGTTAACACTCAGGTATGCAGAAAGTGGACTGTGTGCACACCTGTGCTTCTCCTCATTGAATGGCATTTTATGTGAAAGTGCTCGGTTCAGGGAGATGTTTTCCAGTTGCGTGAGACTATAGAAAACCCAAACGTGCCTGCCATTTGCCATCTGTGGCACCAAACCTGGACAAGGAGCCATAGCTCTGTTCTTGTCTTAGTCTGTTCGGGCTACTGAAACAAAATGCCGCAAGATGACTTACAGACGGTAGGAATTAGCCAAATGTGTTGCTGCTTTCCTGCCAGCACTCAGAGGCAAAAGCAGGAAGCATCAGAGAGGAGTAAGGAAAAGGACGAAGAGAGGAGATGTCTCACAGACAGAGCAGCAGCAGATCTGAGGCCTACGATGAGTGTGCTTTCCCCTCTGAAGATAGTGCCTTCCTGCTGTGTCCTCACAGACAGCTGTGGAAGGGATCTCTCAGAGCTGTCTTTTCCAAAGGCGCTAACAGAGGTTGGAAAGCGGGTGAGGAGAGCTTGTTCTTCTTGCAAAGACCCCAGTTTCGGTTCCCAGCACCCACATGGCATCTCACAACCATCTGTAACTCTGATTCTAGGAGATCCAATGCCCTCTCCTGGCCTCTCTGGGATCTTGAGTGCATGTAGTGCAGTTACTCACACGAGTATATACAGGTACACATAAATAAAAAAGATGCGCATTCTGTTAATAGCCATCAGGTTAACTCCCTGGAACTTGCAGTAAGCATCTGGAAAAAGTACCTTCTACTTTTAGCCAGGGGCCAATCCAACATCAATAGTACCTGGAAGGTGCATGTCTGCCTCTGCTTAACCTATTGGGCCGAGCTGGAGAACAGACCAGGCACCCTTTACAGCATACACTCAGAAAGCCAGGGGTCCCCACCCAAAACCCTGGGCTGAGCACAGTACAGGGTCACACTAAATCATCTGATGGACGTTTGCTGCCTGACCACATAATCGGGTACCAGTTCTGCACATGAGAAATTATTTTCTTACACTAAATTCCTTTCCACCGTGATTCCATTATGATAAAGCAACTTGAAAGACCTCCAAATGATGATTTAATGAGAATACTTGTATTTCTTTTTAAGATGCTAGCCACAGTCCCCATAGCCAACATCTCCAGGCCACATAGTTTTTAATTTCCCATCGTTTTTCATTTATTGCTTTCTTTTCAGGTCCTGTCTTCTCTCGCCATTCAGCATCTCTTGCCAACTACAGAGTAATCTTTAAACTCTAATCTTTAAACTTTTTATCATACTGTTCTCGTTAGAACTTCAAGATTTTTCTTTCTGGTCTCAGGAAATGAGTCAGTCGGTAAAGTGTTTGCCGTGTAAGCATGGAGACCTGATACTGGCCCCCGGGACTCACATAAGAAGGCTGATCTGAAAGTGCATTTCTGTAAACCCAGCTCTAGGGAGACAGAGGCAGGAGGATTTCTGGAGCTTGAGGACCAACCAGTCTAGATTCCTATTCAGTGAGAGACCTTATGTCAAAAATGAATAAGTGAATGAATGAATGAATGACATGAAGGGGCTGAGAGAGCACTCAGTGGGTGTCTGCTATGTCTGAGTTTGAATCCCTAGCATCACGTAAAAGTCAGACACAGCCATGCATGGCTGTAGCCCCAGAATTTGGGGAGGACAGTGGTTGCTGACAGATCTTAAGAGCTTGCTGGCCAGTCATCCTAGCCCAAATGGTAAACTACAGATTCAGTTGTGCTCTGGCTCAAGACAGGAAGGTAGATAACGATAGGGAAGATACCAGAGTCCGCTTGCTTCCTAGCGTGTACACGTATGCCCATACACCACACACACTCCAACAGAAAACGTTTTAAAAATAGTAAGATGGAGAGTGGTTGGGGAAGACACTGTCGTCCTCTGGCCTCCACAGACAGGCAGGCAGGCAGGCAGACGCACACACTTGAAGGCTCCTTTTACCATTTGTCCTTCTAACCATTTTGTAGGCCGCTGTCAAAGCCCGTTTATTCATCTGCAGGTACAGCCTGGTGCCTCATCCTTCAGATGGGCTAGTTTGGCTTCAAGCTTTGTCATGATGTAGACAAGCCTTTTCCTTCTCCTTGGTCCTCATATGGGGGCAGTAGCCTCAGTCAGCGTTGAGCCTCCCTGGGTCAGAGGTCAACAGGAGCTCACAGGCTGTCTCTGGACCCATTTCATCTGTGAAATGAGGAAATAAGACAGTCAGTCAAAACCAGGCCCAGGCTGTGGTTACAAGCCCTTTTTCTGAATCTTGTGACTGCCTCGAAATATCATTGTCAACAGCACTCTCCTTTTTCCTCTGTAGACTGTAGACTGCTTTGGGATTACGTCTATCAGTTGCTCTCTGACAGCCGGTACGAAAATTTCATCCGATGGGAAGACAAGGAATCCAAAATATTCCGGATAGTGGATCCCAACGGACTGGCTCGCCTGTGGGGAAACCATAAGGTAAAAAGGCCAAATGTTTGTTGGGAAAGCTGGTGCCAAAATAGTCTTCATCCCCAAGTTGGAGGATGGCTGTTTTTTCTACCTCCCAAGTCTGCCTGTGATTATTTGGTGTGTTCCTCGCTGGACAAACAATTATGTAGTTGTGAAGGAAGGAAATGATTAAAAATGCCTTTTTCCATGTGTTGCCTTGTCCAGGGCCCATTAACTCAGCCGAGCTCAGTTCAGTAGACTGTGTGTCATTGTCTCCCCGCACCCAGCCACTCCCCTGGACCTGCCTGCCACCCCTGTTGTCCTTAGGTACCGGGGAATAGGGAAGCAGTGAGAGCTGTATGACTCACAGGGGACCTTTGGGAAGTGTCACTTCTGTCCCCATCAGTTGGAAACTCCCCTTTTCATAAAAGTCCATTTCTGCATGAAAACATGTTCTGATTGTAAAGCACCCCCCTTTACGAGCAAGAGGTGCAAAAAGTCTGCCCCCACAGTTTTCCAGAGTAGGAAGAGGAAGTGGAATTCAAAACATAGCCCTTCACAGTGAGGAAGACGTTTAAATGTGCAGATATGAAAAGGAGATAACCATGGCCAGTTGACACATAAGGAGACCTAGGACCAAGCTGGCGGGGTGGGGGAACAGCGCGGTGGCACAGATGAGCCTCCAGCTTCCTAAGAAGGCAGCCTGAGCCCTTTCCCAGCTGAGAAAGACCAGCTAAGGGCCATGCACAAATATGTTGAGGACCCATAAACAGACATTTAAGAGCATGAGTCGCCGAGGGAACCTTCTGTGCACTGCCCATCAACAGTGACAGTCAAGAGACAAGTGTGAGAAAGTCATTGCAACAAAAAAAAAGAAAGAAACTGTAGGTGATTCAGGACGCGAAGGATGGACCACCTGTCTCCCACCCGAGACGAGGAACCTAGGAGCCGTCTCAGGAGAAGGAAATGAGGGCAGTTGCAGTAGGTGTGCTGGGTCGGTTGGCACGTAACTAGGGCAGCTCGGTTTGGGAGGGGCCTCTGGCCACAGTGGCTGTGAGGGTGGACAGCAGAAGGTAGGAGAGTCTCCAGACTGCTGAGGCCACGTGGAGCAACTCGACAGCCTTTATTTCAGTAACTGCCTGGTGCCTTTTCTGTGTTCATTTCATTGTGTCTGTGCTTTTTTTTCCCTCTCTCTCTCCCTTCCTCTTTTGAACAAACAGAACAGAACAAACATGACCTATGAGAAAATGTCCAGAGCGCTGCGCCACTACTACAAACTAAACATTATCAGGAAGGAGCCCGGACAAAGGCTTTTGTTCAGGTAGCACTTCCTCTTTTGCCTTTCCTTCTTTTGGGAGGATATGATTTTCTTTACATAAGAGGGGGGAGGGAGACGGTTAAGAACTCTGACATACATAGCTGAGACCCAAGGCCATTATTGCAAATACTGTCGATTGGAAACTGGGTGTCGGTTTGCTAGGATTTAAGGTTTAAAAAAATCATTCCTTTTGCTTAAGTCTATCCTGTATGAAAGCCAGATCTAAGTGAATTCTGACTCACCTTTAAAATAACATAGTAACCAAATAGCATTATCAGACACTGAAGTCTGGTGGAGTTAAGGGAGCAATCAGAATTACTGTTGTTGATTGTAAAGTGGAGGATTAAACTGGGACTTCCAGGTCACCAAACCTGGAAGCTGCTTTGTCAAGCTTCAGGTCATAACCCATAGTGAGTCACTGTGTGGGTGTAATCGGTCAGCAACAGCCTTCTTTTTTTTTTAATGAAATAGAGAACCAATGTGGTAGAATTGGAAATACCAAATTATAGCTCATCAAGAAGAGTGACCGTTCATTCATAACGATTTTGTTTGCATGTATGTATTCATATGTGTGCACATGCATGTGGAGGCCAGAGGTCAACTTCTGGTGCCATTTCTCATGACCTATCTACCTTGCTTTTTGAGATGAGGCTTCACTTGCTTGGGCTTGCTAAGGACCTCCTGGGATCTACCTGTCCCCACCTCCCAGCAGCTGGGATTACTAAGCATATGCCACTGTGTCCCCTTCTGTGTGGGTGGGGACTGAACTCAGGCTTGCGCGGCAGGTGCTTTACCAACAGAGCCCCTAGAATTGTGGGTCTTACAAATGCATCCCGGCTAGAGAAGCGTGAGATCCACTGCAGTAGGCAGTCTTCCCCCTTTTCCGAATCCCCCTAGCTAATGGTTTCCAACTGTTTCAGTTACCATGGAAATTGTGATTCCCAGAAGCAGAATAGAAGGAAGGGTCTACAGGGCCGCTGAGGATGACATAGGTGGACCCCGACACCATTGGTCACTGATGTGGCGGGAGGAAGCAGGATCACCAAGTAGGGCCTCAGGTTGCAGGTTCGGGCACATAGGATGAAAAGAGCAGCAGATGGGACTGGAGATGTGGGTTTAGAACCATCCGTGTACAGGCAGGAAAACGTCACTGTGCGTGAGCAGTGCTCTCAGCAGGAGAGCAAGCAAGCCAGATGCTAGCACTGGGGTGGAGAGGTGACGTAGGGACAGTAACAGTCGCGTTCATCCTCAAAAGAATGGGAAAGGGCTGCTGAAGAAACCCAGCAGAAGAGAGTAAACACGGAAGAGCCCTCCCTGCCTGCCTCCAGCTAGGTTCACATCTCTCCTTCATCCTCCACCCCACATTTTCAGCTCCCGGTTCTTTTATCCTAGATGACTGGGTCCCACTGTGCCCAACTTTGTTTGACTGTAGCTCTGAATATACTGTCCTGGAATCTCAGAGATTCTTGTGTGATGCGTCTACCGACAGCATATTACTGCTCCAGACATGGTTTCTGGAAGGCGGGCATCCCGGCTGAGGACTCCCACCCAGAATATGCTCTGTTCTCGTCAGTAAGCCACCACTGTTTTAACTAATCTTGGAGCTGGAGTCATCCCTGCTTCTTTCTGTAGCCAAGTCAGTCACTGGGCTGTTCTGTCTACTGGCTCTACAGCACCGCCCCGTCCACTGCTGTGGTGAGGGCCCCAAGCCTGGCAGCGGCAGTTCCCAGGGTTTGCAGCCAGCCTGTCTCAGGTTGAAGCTTGTGACAAACATGTTCATGAGGTATATGATGGGAAGGGAGTAGCATTCCAGTGCCTCTGCCAGGCGTGTCCATCCCCTTAAGTTTTCACATACACACGCCTGCAAGGCTGCCTCTAGTTGACTGTCCATTACAGGGCCCTCTGACGCTGCTCAGTCATAGACACCCTCTTCCACCATCTCCTCAGTCCCCTTTGTCCTCCAGCACTCCATAATGTTCATTTTTAATGTATGGGGCTGGAAGGATGGCTCAGCAGTTAAGAGCGATGCTTTTTGTAAAGGCCCCAGGTTCCGTTCCCAGCACCCACACAATGGCTCACAATGACTTGTAACTCCAGGACCGGGGTAGCTGATGCCCTCTTCTGGCCTCTTCAGGCTCTACATGCACATGGCACACATAAACTCAGGCAGGACATAAACATACATAAAAATAAATATTTAAAACCCTTTTAATATTCGTGAATATCATATTAGAATAATATGTGTGAGTGCTAGAGAGACGGCTCAGTGGTTAAGATCACTGGCTGTTCTTCCAGAGGACCTGAGTTCAATTCCCAGCACCCACCTGGCAGCTCACAACTGTCTGTGACTCCAGTTCTAGGGGATCAGCTAACCTCACCCAGACACACATGAAGGCAAAACACCATTTGCACCTAAAATTAAAAATAAATAATATGTGTGAAGCCTTCCTCACCACGAGTAAACCATAACTCCTAGGAGGTGAGCCTCCCGATTTATTTAGCCTTGTGTATACATTAGGGGGAGTTTCAACAAATGTTTATTGACTGACCTGGTGTGGAATATCAGAGTGGCCTGCAGGAAGGGACAGTTCTGAAGGCCAGATTCAGTGTGGCGGTAAAGTTGGCCTGGGTCTTTAGCAACTTCAGATGTTGAAGGAGACGTTTTAGCGAGAAGAGGAAAGCAGAGGACAAACGGTAGCCACTGTGACGTGCGCTGCCCGGGGAACTTAGCGGTCTCCGGCAGAAAGCAATGTCAGTAGACGTAGAAGGTCCTCTGACAGCCAGTGAGGGGCTCTGAGCACGGGAAGGAAAGCCTGCTGTTAGAGAGGAAGCCAAGCTGCACAAAATGATGACTTATTAGTGCATGACTCCCCGTGTAACCCACGGGAGCGGGCCATGGCGGGCATGCTTCAGGATGTCCAGGTAGACTGCACTGTGGACTTGTGCCAGTAAGGGATCCAGAAGGTTCCAGTTCAGAACAGCGTTGAAAGTTTGCATGAGGGCGCAAGCCATGGTTTCTGTCAGGACTAGCAGGCGGGAATGGTGAGATTTAACGGAAGTGAACAGTGGAAAAGTACGTGTGGGGGAGGGGCGATGGCAGATGGCTCTAAAACTGCGTCTCTACTTGGTGGGATGGTGAGGGGAAACGTGTTTGAAGTAGTTCGTGGATGCGGAGCAGACACCGTGGAGTCCCCCACCCCACCCCCACCCCCAGAGAAAGACGTTTTCAACCAAGTTTCCTCCCTGCACCGTGCAAACCATACTGAGAACATGACACGGGTGCTATCCCACACAGTGACCAAGAATGTGAGGCTTGCTGTACACCCCAGCTACAACGGAAGGGGACATGCTAAAGGGAAGTTGTTTCTGACAGTTCAGATAGATGGTGGGAACAAAAGGATTCTTCTTGCTTTTCTAATTTCCAGAAGCCCCCTTCCCTAAGCTACCCACTGGTAAAAAGCACCCAGTTAACATCTAATAGCATCCATTGAGTTAAAGTCAAGTTTTGAATACTATTCCCTGAGCCCTCAGACTGGGATGGAAGTAGATGCAGGAGTCTCTGTAAAAGAGTCTAACTCGGGCTTGAAGAGAAGGCTCCACTGGGCAAGAGTGCTTGCTGTGCAAGCACGGGCACCTGAGTTCAAATCCCCAGCACTCAGACAAAGCCAGATGAGACTGTGCACACACCTGTAACCCCAGCTCTGTGGAGAGCAGAGACAGGTGGGTCACCGGGGCTTGCTGACCCCCAACTCGTCTCATAAGACTAAGGCAGAAAGTGACAGGGTGGCACACCTGATGTCTTCTTGGTCCCCTGCACAGTGGGAGTTCATCCACACGTGTGTACATACGCCACACACACACACACACACACACACACACACACACACACAATCTTTAAAACTGAGAAACACACAATGAGCAGGACCCAGGTTCCATTATACAATCCGGCAGTAAGGCACCAAACCAGCAATAACACACCCCTAGCACCAAAAGGACCTGTCTTCTCACAGTCCCCTCAACTTGTCATGGTCGTTTTGTCACCTTTCAGATGGGTAAGAAAGGAACCTTTCCCTAATCTGTGCTGAGGTAGCACTGCTGTGTGGGTTGCTCTGAGGGTTGGAGCAGAGAGGGAGGGCATCTTTGGGAATAGACTCTTCTGACACTTTCATTTCCTGCTCCGAAGGTTCATGAAAACCCCAGATGAAATCATGAGCGGCCGGACAGACCGTCTAGAGCACCTCGAGTCTCAGGAGCTGGATGAGCAAGCGTACCAAGAGGACGAATGCTAAGGGGACCCACCACAGCCTCACCGGCTGGCCAAGAGGAACCCGCCCACGGGGACTGCTGGAGGGGTGGTGGGCAGGCGAGCTGGGGAGGGCCAAGAAGGAAGAGGCCCAGGAATGGCAGGAACACTTCTCTCGCAGACCGAGAGGGACCAGAGCACCTTAGACAAACCACCCAGCAATGGCGGGGCTGGAATTCTGGCGGAGGGCACAAGCCTGAGACTCACACGTCACATTTGCTCCTCCTTTGGACCTCTTGTCTGTAACGCCTCACCCTGCCCCTGTTGTTAGTCTCATGGTGTTTCTGGTTTTGTTTCTTTTGGGTTTTGTTTTGTTTTGTTTTTTGTTTTTAAGAACATGCAATTTGACTATTCATCATTCATACAGGGGAAGACATCACATGTTGTTTTCCTATGGAAATATATCTATTATATATATTATTTTTATTTTTTATTTTTTTGCAAATCTCCCGAAGTACAGCCAGCTCTGCTGGTCAGGAAAGAGACTTGCAGAAGGGATCAGGCCCCTCTTTTTCCTGCCACGCGGATCAGGTTTGTCCTGTTGCAGTCGGGTCTTGGGCGAGAAGAACAAGAAAAGATACTTGCAAAACATGAAAGAGTTCTCTCCGTCTCCCTCCCGCCCCTTCTCTCACTCATCCCACCCCCCTTCGTCTTCTCTGCCTGCTGTTTGGTGTCACATGCCTTCTAGCAGACCTGGCCTCACTAGCACCTAAAGTAAACATTGGCCCAGCTGTTCTGCGGCCATCAGCACACAGCCAGACACCCTGGGCACCCATCTGAGGGAGGCCAAGCACCTCATAAATGCTGCTGTATTCCAGAAAGATCAGTGGGAGGTCCAGTCATAAGATAGGCCAGAGGCTGGGCAAATGATGTGGAAGGCCTTGGCAGCTTGAGATTATCCTGGAAATGCTGCAGAGTGGGAAAATACGAGAAGCTCGCACGGGCCCAGTGCTCCGGGAGCTCGGCAGAGCTGCTCTGCCGTGAGGAGTGGGTTGTGAAGGCTGGGGAGAAGGCAAAGCTCTCGGTTTCGTTCCCGAGATGCCTTGTCCTTGTGGGGTCGCAGACACCCCCACTCCAAGCCCTGGCCTTCTTTTGTTTTTCTTTCTGGTCCTCACTGAACGCAGAGCACATGTAAGGGAGCACCCTGGAGTGCAGACTGGGCCACAGCCGGTCTTTGCACAACCGGCCCAGACAGGAAATTCCTCAGATTCATGCATTTCTCCTCCTGTCATTGCTGTATTTCAAGAAGACATATTTGTGGCTTTTTTTCACCTCGGCATAAAGTCCGTAGTATCTTCCAAGATGAGGGTAATGGTAAGCCTTAGGTTTTTTGATAGCAGAAATTTTTTTAGACAGCTGTTTTAGAGGGGGGGATTTGGGTTTTGTTGTTTCATTTTGTTGGTTTTTCAAGACATGGTTTCTGCTGTGTAGCCCTGGCTGTCCTGAAACTTGCTTTGTAGACCAGGCTGGCTTCAAACTGAGATCTGTCTGCCTCTGCCTCCCAAGTTCTGGAATTAAAGGTGTGCACCATCACGCCCAGCTTTCTGGCCTCGCCCCTTAGCCATCTAAAGAGACTCTTTGAACTATAGTGTTTCTAAACCCAGATGATGAGGCCTGTCTGATAAACCACCTCTTTTCTTTCCTTTGTCTCTTCCACACCGTCAAATGAGCATCTCCCAACCCTCCTGGGTGTGTGTGTGCTCAGCCAGAAGTAGTACGCAGGGGACAGAGCAGAGCTGTCCTCCAGCCGTTCTTATGTGGGGCACATAGAGGCGAGGAGTAGACAGGCTTTCCCTCTGGGCCTTACTTACTCACCAGACATCAGCTCGCAGATGTGTGGATGGACCATAGTTCACAGACACTGGAATTGAGCTGATCAGGCTGCTTTAGTCTTGCTGTGACTCCCGAGTGCCTCCCCCATCTGCCTTCAAAGAGGTCAGTGACCTTCTGGGTGAGTGGTTTGGACTTGGTGTTCGCTGGTGGTGATGGGAGTCACATGCTATGTCTCTTGAAGCAGGGTATACTTTTTTTTCCTTGACCTCTAAAATGACTGGGATCTATCTCAGGTGGGGAGATGAAGGCAAATTCTTATGTTGTATGAGTCGCTTGGTTGAACTAGAGAGAAAGGGTGGAGGGTTTTGGTTTTGGTTTTGACGGAGGTCCTGTGTATGACTGAAATGAGAGACTAAGACACCTCATTCTGGCCACTTTGCCCATGTGTAGAACCCAGTTTCTATCCGTCCAAAGAATCTTCCAGATGAACTGTGGAAGGAAATTCCTTTGTTCCCTGAGGAGTATGTAAGGCTCGGGATGACAGCTTCAGCCACTACATTAGAAATACCCATGGCAGTGCCATCTGTATTCCCCACCCAGTATTCTCAGTGAGCTTCAGCCACTTGTATTAGAAATGCCCATGGCGGTTCCCCACCTGATGTTCACAGTGATGGTTTCACTTTGGTTCTCTTAACTGCAAACGCCCTCATTTGTTTTTGGAGAGAGGTCTGGCCAGTGTCGTCTCCAGGGATGCAGTGCTCTCAGGATACAGATTCAGTCACTCGCGCCTTGGAGAGAACACTACTACAGGGGCTCTTGGAGTTTTTTGGTTTTTGTTTGTTTTTTCCATCCACCGCGCTCTTCTAGCTCAACAGTCATTTCAAGAGGTGATGGAACCAAACTCAAAGCTCATGTGTCAGATGAGCAAGTGGCCTTTCTCTGTGGCTCTCATGGGTTGGCCAGGGAAGGAATTTGCAAGACAGCATTGCTGTGTGGCGGGTGGGCATTGTCGCTTAGGTCCTGGAATTCTCTGTCCTGTGTCCTTGGCCAGGCTGTCTTCAGGTCTCCATCAGAAGAAAGCTAGCTGGTGAGATATTGACAGAAACTTTTCTCAGATCTTCTTGAGCCAGAGCAACCTGGTGACAACAGAAGGCAGTGTCACTCATGTTCCATACCCTCCCCCCCCCCCTTTTTTGAGAAGGGTCCTCATAAGAAAAGAACAAAACAGTCTACAGGCTGATGGAGTTTTCCCTTTCCTTAGCGCATTCAAAACCATCTGATCCAGCATCTTTTCACACTAATACCTTGTCCAGATAAGAATGTCACTTCAGCTGACATCTAGATGGCTAGGAGAGGATTGAATGGCCACTATGCCTCCTCACACTGTCCAGGATCCAACCATAAACACATTTTGGCACATCCACTGTTGTTGGCAGAAGGGAACCTGAGAGGTCGTGTCACTTACCCTGGGAGCAGACCGCGTAACATGGAAAGAATTAGAATCGGGCTCCAGCCTGATTAGAATCCAGTTAGAAAGTGTACTGGTTTAAACCCCCATTGGATCCATCCCCAGCAAAGAAACCAGAGAAGCAAAGGGTGACTTTCACTGCCCAGTCAATTGGTGCTAGCTGGAGCTCAGCCTGCTCCTCTTCTGAACAGAAACCTAAATGGAGTGACGCAGGAGGCCAGTGGGGCAGGAACACAGGAATAGCCAGGAACGCTGCCCGTCAGCAAGGCACCGGGAACTAACCCAGTACTCTTTTGACCCCATCCACATCAACACTAAACAACTGCAAACTCCCTGCCCCTCCCCCTCGCAAGTGATCACTCTCCTGAAGATTTCTTTTTGCAACTGCACCCACCTGCAAGCCAGATGAATCTAGAATGAATTTTTGTTGTTGTTTAGTTTCTAATCTCTTGTTTATGAGGTGTGGGGTTTATAAGGGACTGAATCAAATGAATGTAACAAAAAAGAAAAAAAACAAAAACAAAAAAATGCCTTTTCTCAGGGCCAGTGAAGTTGCAAATAATTTTTAAAGAAAAGCCTATAATTACATCATCTCAATAAATTTTTTATAAAAAAAAGTTCCAAGTCTCTGTTTTTAATAATAAGAAATGGAGTCAGACAGGCAAGGTACTCTGATGATGTAAATCCTGCCTACTCAATTATGGAATAAAGTGCAGTCCCAGTTTCTCCTGGCAGAAAGCCGCCATAACCCAGGAGTCGGCAGGCAGGGTTTAGACAAGAGGCCCCAGGAAGGTCACAGCAGATGGCTACTCTGAGCCGCTGCCGCAGGTGGAAAAATCTGCCCAAAGGAACTCCAGTCGGATGTGCCAAGGACGTACCCGGTCTCTAAGCACTCGGGTGACAGCAGGGATTAAGTAACCCTGGTTGGGTTGGAACCTGTAAGGTAGTGGAGACGTAAGTGTGAGGGTGTCTTCCATGACCAAGCCCAGGACTTCAGAAGCCTGGGTGATCACCATACAGCCTGTGCACCCAATGTCTCTGCCATGCTGCTGGGGTCACCAACTGAGATTTCAAACTCAACGTAGCAGGCTGTGACGGAGCGCATCTGTAAATCGAGCACAAGGAAGATGGCGGCAGGAGGATGGGGATCTCAATGTCAACCTCCGCTAGTAGCAAGTGTGAAGGCAGCCTACGTTGCATGAGATCTTGTCTCAGAGAGCAAACAGCAGATGGGACATAATAGTCACTACTATCCACCGTCACAACAGGCAGAGAGAGGTTCCGAGCATGTGAAGGGGTGAACCGCATTGCTTTGCAGCCGCTCAGACGGTAGGTTTGAAACACAACACAGGAGTTTAAACTGATCTCATAGTTATGCTTGATTGTTTCTCTCTTCACGTTGCTCCCTGGGTGTCCCTGGGCCGGGATGTTTTAAACCACTTCATGAGAACACTTGATCAAGTAAAGTTTAAGAGACAGTTTCTGAGGGGGGCGGGAGCTACAGTGCCTTTGAAACTACAACTCCTGATCATTCTCAACTTGAGTCATCTGGGGTTTCCTAGCCATACAGATCATCAATTGGGAATCCCATAAACTAAATAAAAAGCTTTGCAAGCGGGGCTTCCAAATATGTGTCCAGGTCTCCAGGTGCTGCTGCTGTGTGCTAAGGTTTGGCACGCCTCATGGCTTTGTTCACCATGCTACAAAAGAGCCCCCGGCATCAGAAGTGATGGCAGTTTACTTGCACTGTGCGTATTCAGAGATAGTCATGCCACATGTCTAAACAGACATGAACTCCAGAATGAGGCCAGGCAGACCCGCAATCGCACAGAAAGTTTCGGCACACTCCATCCAAACCTGGTAAGCAATCAACCTGTTACAAAGATGAACAGTCTAAAGGGCAACTGAACAGGTGACCTGCCCTGGCAAATTGCACGGCGGTTTGTCTACTTAAGGCCACTTGCCTGCTCAACCACCCTGATCCAAAGAGAAAGACAACAGGAGTGCAGTCACCTGTCCTGACGACAGACCATGGCTCTCTGTCCTAGGGTTACTAGGCAGAGCCTGAATGAACACGTGCCTCGGCATTTGCTGAGGCCTCCTCAGAGCACAAGATTAGACTACAATAGATCACAGCTATGCCAGTCTGAAAGTGCTCCTTAGTCACCTGGGGAATCAAAAAAAAAAAAGATTTGTATTTTGTTTGTTTTGTTTTGACATGGTCTCATGTAGCCCAGGCTGGCCTCCAGTTCCCTATGTAGCTAAAGACTGCGGTGATATATTATTTATGGTCTAATAAAGCCACTGAAGATCAGAATGCAAAGCCAGCCACACTAGTTAGCCATAGAAA